AGCCTCCAAACTTGTTCAATTGCCTTGCCTGTAGGAAAAAATAGAATTCTACAGTTATGAGGTTTGCAATCGCATGACGCTTGCTTGTTTGTGAAAGGAAAATTTCATTAAATCTGACACCCATAATCAGGGTTGGCGTTGGCTGTCCACCACACGTAATATTAAGTATAGGATCAACATCAACATTCCTACCACCTCAACCTCAATCACCAACTCAATCTCAATCACCAACTTAATCAAATTCACCACCAATTAAACCTCCAACATCAAGAACACCAAGTCACAATACAAATTGACATGTTCAATGCCAACCCTGTTTATAATAAACGTCAGATTTATTATTTGGAAATTATTTTTAAAAAAGTTCTACAACTTGTAATTGTGTGCAATTGGAAAGCGCACACACACACAAGTAAAGGGATCAAAATAGAGGAAAAGGATTTGTTTATTTCCAACTCTACCAAATTCCCCGTCTTCTACCCGCCAGGAAGGACATCATTATGTGGCTTTTTTAAAATCACTGCATGGTCTTGGTATTATCATTGCCCGGGTGATGCAATTGTATGTTGTACCAAAAATGTATTTTTGTTTCAACTGAAAGAAAAATACTTTATATATAACATGTTGAAAAATAAAATAAATTAATACAGAAATGTATATGCTGTATATAATAATGGGCTTGGCAAAATCGGCGAGGAAAGAAGATTCTGTTGAACTTGACTCTAGTTTGACATTGGGAAAAAGACATATTAAGGTAAGTGGATGTGATTCAGCACAAATGGTTAGATACAACACAAACCCCTTATCGTTTTTTTTTTACCGAGTGTGGTGGGAAAATTAGAACATATGAATCAATCTAACATTAAACCCAAGGATTATAGTACTACTAGATGCATTTTGAAAAAGCAGCAATGTGAGAAATTGCTTCTTATGTTTTTAAAATAAATAATACTCGGGCACCCGAGAATTATTTAAGGAAAGATGAAGCTACCAAAAGAAAGAAAAGTAATAAGCACTAGGAAAAGAAAGTGAGGTGAACAACTATGTCCTTTTAGCAATATAAATAATAATAGTTATATTAAAGTTATAATTGCCAATCAAATCAAATAGGCTTATAATCAACTTTTCTCTTTGTATGTATATGTATGTTTTAAGATATAGTTCTTATATTCTGCTTGCTTTGCAAAGTGTCATCTTCTAGATCATTAGCTACGATAGTTTGACATAGTAAACATTTGGTCCTTGTAGATGGAGAATAGTTTTTATAAACAAACAAATCAATTATTCCGCTGGAGATACTTTTTCCACATTATCATCAATAAAAATATCAAAACCAGAATAAAAATATTTGACTCATTCATATCTGGTAAGTTGCAGAATTTTTTCTTGTTGATGGGTTCTGAATTTTTTTTTCTCCATGTATCACCTAAACTCTTTTTAAAAATAAAAATAAAAACAAAAACATTGTCTTTATTTTCTTTGTTTAAAGCGCTTTGATAAAAACAACAAGTGTAGTTAGTGTCTTGGTAAAAGGTAACAATTGTTGCTTTGGTGAGTTAGCAAAGGATAAGATTGACGTTGGTTAACTAGTGAGTATTAATGAAGTAGTATTATTGTGGTCGTAAACGTAAGGCTGTTAAACAAGCTACTCAAGTTGCTTTGCAAATAAACCAAAATGAGTTTGCAATCGACCAATAAATACAAACAACTGAAACAAATCGATTACAAATGAATAAAAAGAATTTTGTAGTGTTGCAAAAAGGCCATCTTTATTTATTTACAGTTATCTGGCACCATTAAGATTCATCTAGGTGCAGTAATCACGAACCAAAGTAAATTCGTAAACTAGTCAATTGACAAGCACCGAATTATTGTGAATTAGCTGACAAGAGTAGCCCAAAAGTTATCCCATAATTGTTAAATAACTGAAATGATACTTTGCAATATCACCATTTAACAAAAATCAAAAATTGTAAAAATTTATTATTTCAAATATTGTTACAAGATAAGAAATAAAATAAGGATGAAATATGAATAAAAAGAAGATAATAAATTTATAGTGGAGATTAAATTAGTCATTCATCGCATCTTTTCTTTTACTATTGTTACTAGAATTTAATGTTAATTAATTAGTTAATTAATATTGTTAGTAATAATCAATGGATAGTGGTTTCCAATTAATTAATAATGAAAATTTCATTCACCTTTGTTAACATTCTAGAGAAAAGAATTAAAATCAAGACTATTTATCATTACTTGTATAACTTTTAAAGTTTTTAGATATAGTAATCTCTTCATCTAAGATTCTACTTGTATGATATGCATCTGGATGTGATTTGTGTAGTTGTTGCAAAGCACTACCACCACCACTGTTGATTCTGCTACCACCATCATTAAAATCAATTTTATGGTTTTTGATTTGAGGACATTTGAATAATCTTTTTATTAAACTATTACTACTATTATTATTTTTTAAGCATTTATTTCTAAGAATTTTTTTATTTTTATTTTCAAGAATTTCATCATTTTTATTTTTAAAAATTTCATTATGTTTATTTCTAGCAAATGTCCAAAGCTCTCTACTAGTTGGTCTTTTTGATGGATCCACATCCCAACACCTCTGCATCATTTGCACATAATCATCAGGCATTACAGGTAATATTGGTGGTCGTAAACCTTCACATATATCAAAAATCAAATAATGATTGTGAGCTTTATCATCAAATGGTGGATATCCTGCAAATATTTCCCACATTAACATCCCAACACTATAGATATCAGATTCTTTGGTGTTCTTTGTGTTATTTCCTCTAAGTAGCTCGGGTGCAATATATGATACAATTCCATAGACTTTATTTGATGATTCATCATCAACTGGCCCACATAATCCTAAATCTGTAATATAACAACAACCTCCTTCCACAAGTATATTACCACTATGTAAATCACAATGGATTAAATCTTTTTCATGTATATCATCTAATGCACAGCATAGATAATAAAATATTGTAATTCTGTCTTTTAATGTTAAATTTTTTTGTAAATAATCCCTTAGATTTCCTTCTTGTGCATAATCTAAAACTATTGCATAATTTCCATTATCTGAGAATTTAGTTATACCATGATAATGAACAATCAATCCTGATTTAATTTTACAATAATTCATTGCCTGAAAAGAAATATAAAATCAATTAGTATCATATAATAACAGTATTGTTTATTTTGTTTTAAATGACAACTACCAACCTTATCAAAAAAGGCTTTTCCTGGATTACTTGAATTGTTTAAACTTTTTAATACTACTCCTTGCTCTCCAAAATGACAAAATTCCTTTTTACTTTCGTTGTAATCATTAATAGTTCCTCTTGTCCATGTAGCAGTAAAAATTGAACTAAATACACCTTCAGTTAACATTGTTACTTTTCCAAATTGCTCAAAAGGTATCCATTCTAAAATAAAAGATGGCAAAGGTGATTCCATTTGACATTGTTGAATAAAATCATCAATTATGTTATTTCCAGATGTCCAAGTGGTGAAAAGACTCTGTAAATGTAAACTAATACAACCTTCACAGAACCTATCAGAATATTTTGTCAATTTACACTTGTTACATTTTTTTGGTTTTCCCAATTTATCTCTTGCATTTCTTAATTCAAACTCATAAATAAACCTTTCTTTACAATATTCTTTTTCATTTTCAGAAAGCTCCTTGTTTTTTTTGACTAATGAAAAAAAATAGCCCTTTCTACTTTCTTTATCACAATTAGCATTAGCATTATTACGCATTTCACTATTAATTTTATGCACAAAATCCTCTCTTTCTGGTGATAATGATGATAATTGGTTAACATGTGACATTATATAAAAATATAATATAAAAATTTGACTTGAGCAGAGTGGAGTTTTTTTTCTTTGAGAATAACGGGTTACGTTCAGGACTGTTAAAAATCCGGATTTCCTTTAATATTAATATTAATATTAAAAAATTTTTAATTTCCAAAAAGTGTTTCGGATATTGTTATTATAATTCCTTTTTTATTTTCCATCCGCATAAAAAAATTTTTTAAAAAATACAATTAATATTCTAGAAAGAACATCCAATCACAATTTGCTTCTTTTGAATGTTCAGAAGAACCAATTATTAAAAAACACATTACTATAAAATTCTAGATATATCTCTAACAAAAATAAAAATAATAATAAAAAAAAAACTATCTCCGATCATTTTGAAAAGAAAAAAATTTGGCATGAAAATTTTTAAAAACCTACATATTAACATATTATTAATATTATGAGATTTTTAGATGTGATAATCTAATTTCATCTGATTATTGAGGAAAAAAATTTTTTACATGATTTTGGATAATTTTTTTTTAATAATTTTTTTAAAAGATTTGATAAAATTTAGTCATTTTTAATAATAAAATTATATTTTTTTTCTTTACAAAAATGATCAAAGTTTGTTTCTTTATTATTATTATTGTTTGAGCTGCATAAAAACTAGAGATCTAAAATTTTATATTCATGAATACCTAGTTACTAGGATCCAAAAATAATATAAATTTTTTGTGCAATTATTATGTACATTTTTGCGCAGTTATTAGCTTGGGGTGGCCGAAACTTTTGGGGAGGTAATGTATATACACTGAAGAACAATTGTTAAAGGTTTGTAATACAAAATATTTATATGCGTATATACAGTCCACAACATAGAAAGAGACAACCAAAAGAATCAGATAACTAAAAACAAAATTAATAAAATAAAGAGAAGATGAAAATAGGGTAATCTTTCTTTTTTTTTTCATATCTTTTCATATAGCAAAACTCAAGAAAACACGTCACCACTTTACCAAAGTCTATATACTGGTGTAAATAAAATGCCGATTTCGGAATTGACGTGGGAAGACCCTTTGGCCAGTCAAGTAATTAGTGGCAATTCAAAGCTGGTGCATCAATTTCCAGGGCACTTGCAATATGCTTTTATGAAACCTCCACGCTTAATGGTACCTCCTACCCTTCTACTGATAGTGCAAAATAAATCCAGTGATTATGTTGCTAGCTTTATTGAGGATCGTATAATTGTTCCACCACGAAACCTTTCACATGATGGCACCTGGAAAGAATCAGACAGTGAGCTCACAAATGTTGTGGAAAGAATCTTGGATAACCAGTAAGTATGCTTTGGATAAGCCGAGTTTTTAAATCCTAATTCTATATTACTTATCTGCTTTGATTAGAAATGATTCTCGAGCATTTGGGCTAGATTTTGTAGATTCTTAAATGAAGGTACATATGTGACCAATGTAGTAGTACCAGTGATCTGGGCGACATTGAAGGATCTTCCTTTGGGTAAATCTACATTTGTCAATAGTTTTGAATGACAAAGCAATGCTAGTACAGATAGAAAGGGTGATGGGCAATCTGAAAGATGACCAGATATAATGTTTGTGATGAACATAGTAGAAAAAATTACAAACTCCTATATGCTGAATGCTCACGCTTATCTTGTACAAAACAAAAAGAAAAAGATGATCAGGTGAAATTATGGCATGAGGCTAATGATAGGATGTTCTGGGTTCGCAAAAGTTGTAAGCCCGATAAAGATGAATTTGGAATTATAGGAGTACAGGTCGCAGGGAGAAAAATATGTCTAAATGTTCTTATTCGAGACATGAGTGAGATCCATAGATATTATAGCCTTCATGAATCAGAAATTCCTGTTCAACAGTCAGATCCTTCCATTGTGTCCAAAATTTGTCGAGACTTTGTTAATATTGCGTAATATCCTGATGACTAGTATATATGGCTTCGCTACATAGCGTGTCTTTGTCTTGATCAACTAGACACCTGAAGGATAGTTCCACCACCAAGTTCACTATCCTCACATAGGTCATCTTCACTAAAGAAAAGAAAATTGCATCAAATGAATAATTAATATATCTATCTTATATTTTTATCGGAATTTACTAATTAATTAATAATCTTATAGATAGTTATTTTTTTTTTTTAATTAATTCAATTTTTCATTTATTCCAGTATGACCATATCTTTTTGTCTGTCATTTTTTTCAAATAATATTTACATTCATTTCTCCATCTTTGATACTACGTCCATGCAGTTTATTATTAATAAAGAATTTAACCCAAAAGGTCACACAATTTATCAAGAATTATTTTTTGTGTATCAATATGTGATTAAAAATTTTCTCGGAAAAGTGATAGGCATTCCAAAACAGAATGAACTTTCTGGCCCAAATGATTTACCATAAACTGAGATAAGCACATTAACCATATGGGTTCCATGCTAACAAAAAGATAGTTCGGGAAAAAATGGGGTTTTTGAGAAATCAGCTGATTTTGTTTTTCACTAATCAAAACAACCCCTGATTTTTTTAATCTAGAAACAAAGTTATTACCCCTTTTTTGGTTTGTGACACACAATTTAATTAAAAATTTGCAAATAATTAATATTTCTAAATTAAATTTTCTTTTATTAATTCCAATTAAACATGTCAACTAATCAAGGAGCTTCTCAATATTTTTATGATTTATTTGAACTTGGTTTAGAGGAATATGAAAATTATGAAAATATTCAATTTATTGTACATAATTTAATAAAGTTTTTTGAAAGTCCAGAAAGTTGCAAATGTTCTGAAGAAGAAAAAGATATTAGAACTTGCTTTGAAAGAATTGGATTTAAAAAGTTTTTTGAAAGACATTTTCAAATTATTAATCTAAACAGCAAAGAATTAGATTTGTTTTTAAAAGCACAACTTTTAGCAATGGAAATAGAGAATAAAAATTATAAAAAATCTTCTGAAAAGATCCAACAAAGGATAAACTATAGATATTGTTTTAATTCAACCTATGCTCTTTGTAAAACAGCATTTTTAAAGCTATACAATATAAGTGATTCTAAATTCAATAATGTTCTAAAGCATTTGCATGATGAAGGAATAAGTGAACGAATTCATGGAAATACAGGAAGAGCTCCTATACATAAAACTAAAGTCAATATTGATGAAAATTTAAAATCAATTGTAA